AACCAACGCGCTAAATCACAATCGCTATACTGCACAATGTATGCAATGTACTGCACAATTCCTGTTTTAACCGTAATAAAAATATTATTTGTGAATTCGAGATAACGAAAAACGATTAATTTTATATCGAGTTATCGAGAGCAAAACACTATTAAGTGTAACAGTAGTTTCAAGGGGAATTTAAAGTAGTTCGAGATAACGAAAAATTCGAGATAGCGACGTTCGACATATTAAGAATCTACTGTATTACGTTGTCAAACTGTATACATGGGCTGGTTAAGAAATTGGATTTTATTAAGGGCACACGAATGTTAAGCCGTTTATAATATTATTACTAGGTGCCAAACGTGTGTATTTATATATATTATTATCTTACTTTTTACTATTTTATATTCAATTATTACGTAATATACCAGATTTTGCTATCGTTTGTGCAATTATTTTAAAGAACGTCCGGCTGGAGCAAAGATTTGGTTAATGGAATGAATTTAGCAGAAGTTTTTCCTTTATATTAAATTAATTTGATACAGTATTATAGGAATTGTGAAATATTGTAAGTGCTAGTTGTTTTTTTTTCACATGGGCATTTTCAAAAGATCGGAACTTTTGATACCGAATCACGATTCATACACACTGCAAATGGGTAACACGAATCGTTCGAAAAAAGATGTATTTTGTTACTACTAAACATACAAGTCCAAAATAACAGTCAGATAATAATTATTATTCGCTCTATTTTGCTTTCTTTTTTTTCTATACGAATAGTATAGAATAATAAATATTGTAAGATTATTATTCAAAGGTATCACGAGTGGTGAAACAAATGCCAATAAATAAATAAATAAAATAAAAAGATGTGATTATGGCATGATACAAATTACTTTTAAGAAATGAAACACAGCAGAAGTTTTAGAAACTTCCAAATTCTTTTTTTGTTGGAATTATCTCATTTTATTTTTTACGTGATCATTGCAAATTTAACATTTTCTATTATTCAGTAATAATATGATTTCCACAAATATGGTGGATTAAATGACCTCGTTGACATTTTATTATTCAACGATTATAACAGCATAACATATTTTTAGAAAAAAACTATATTATATTTTTCATATCTATTATTATAAATCTTTTTTCCTTTTTTTGAAAAACAACATAAATGTGTTAATATAATATAATATACAAATATATATATTTTTCTTAAAAAAATATATTTGACAGAAAACTTCAATATAAAACAGTGGATGTTGCTCTTCCATACAGTAGGTTCAAGTGGGTTACTGTAATGGATAGAATTAAATTTGAATGCAATGATAGGTATCATTGTATACGAAAAACGATTCTGAACGGAGACTGTTTATCTGCCTAGGATATTATATTATAGATCATTAAAAATTTTCAAATCTTAGATTTAAAAAGAAAATTTTTTATGAATTTCTAGCTTAAAACAATTTGCGAATTTTCGTGATTTTTACGTATGTTGTCAAAATTAAAATTTGAATGCTTGTAAAAAAAAATTGTGACTATGTATTTCTTTTATTTTTCAACTACTATTGTAAAAATATTTTAGGAGCCTTGTATTTAATTTTCAAATCTTAGATTTAAAAAGAAAAACTTTTATGAATTTCTATATAAGATAATTTGACCATTGCCGTAATTTTTACGTATTTAGTCAAAATTTGAACTTTAAATGCTTATAAAAAAAAATTGTGACTAGAATTTTCTATATTTTTTAGCTTCTATTGTTACAATGTGTTAGAAGCCTTGTATTAAATTTTCAAGCTTTTCTACCCTACAAATAAATTTTTATCGATATTATAGAAAAAAAAACTAAAAAAGTGCAAAAATTAAAATGTCAGTAAACAGCTTAAAAAAAATCTAAATATTTTGAAAATTGTATCAAATATAGAAAATACCTATATAAACATTCAGTAAAAATTTGAAGTATCTGCGGTCATATGTTTTACAGTTACACCAAAATAAGAAAATCACTAAATATGAAATCCAGTGAAAATCCAATGTTGTAAAAATTTAAATTCCAAAAGCTCATAAAAATTTAATTTGGATTTCCAGTGGACATTTTACTTGTGATAAAGATTGACAAACTTGTAAGGAATCTTGTATTTAATTTTCAAATCTTATAGATTTAAAAAGAAATTTTTTTATAATTTTCTAGCTTAAAATAATTTGCGATTTTTTGTGATTTTTACGTATTTCGTCAAAATTCAAACTTTGAATATTTATAAAACAAAATTGTGACTATGAATTTATTTTATTTTTCAACTAATATATATTGTAACAATATGTTAGAAGCCTTGACGTATTAAATTTTCAAGCTTTTCTACCCAACAAATACATTTTTATCGATATTAATTTAAAAAAAACTAATAATGATCGAAAATTGCAAATACCTATGAATAGTTCAACTTCAGTCAACATTTTTGAAAATTATTTGGTGGATAGAATATACTTATATAAACATCCGGTGAAAATTTCATGTATCATAGATTTGTCATTTGTTTTAAAGTTACATCAAAAACACCAAAATCGATTTTGTCAAAAATTGATTGTGCGTAAAATTTCCCGTTTTCCCTTAATTTTTAGTTTGTCTATCCCGATTATTTAGAAAAATATTACATATTTTTACATTTGACCCCCCAAAGTACTAATTAGATTCACTTTCTGATCGAACGAGGTACTGAAGTCAAAAATCGAAGCACTTTTACTGCCCCAAAACGTGATGACAGACACAAAAAAAATAAAATAAAATAAAAACACACATCATAGTAAAATCAATACATTCATCGCTCCGCTTAGAATCTTAAATCGAAATTAGAACGAGTAGTTAAGTATAGTGATATTTTGAAAGTAATTGAAGTTTAGAAGAGTGAAATAGTGAACAGGCATTTTATAAAATACTTCCTGCATCAGTAACTTAAATTTTAAATGCCGTGTTGTTGCATTATATTTAAAAGTAGGGATATTAATATAAAAATATTAGATTTAGGATGCTTGTTAAAATTAAAAAAAAGGTTAATTAAAAAATAATGAAACTATAAACCAATGTCTCATATTTATAACGTATAGAAAACAATAAAGTGAAAAGTGTTTATACTATAATATAATATAATATATGTTTATACTGTTTAGTAACATAAATATAACAAAGCTCATTATTTTTAAGCTTATTACAAAAACAAAATGCCGGATATGTCAAATAAAACACTAAATCAAGGAGATAAAAAAAAATAATAAAAACTTTAATGAATGTATGCTGTAATAATTGCGAAGAAAAATATTAATGATGGTATTTATTAAAAATAACATTATCCTGCCTAGGGGTAACAAAGATGCACGGCATGGCAATTTTGATGACCATATTATATAATGAAAGTTGAATTAAGCCATGTTTTCCGATGGCAATATTCTGTTTTCAATTCTAACACAGCATAATAATWTGTAAATCGAGGGTCGATGGTAATATTGGAAACAGAATAATGCGAGAGAAAATGTCAACTGTGTAAAAACAGAAACCCCATAAAGACGACGGCGTCGAATTAGTTTTTCTTGTTGTAACGCTTTCCAGTATGTCCCGGCTCATTTTCCACTAATTTGGCGCTGATAGGTTTCCTGAATAATTAAGCACCAGGACGATTTCGCTGTGACGTAAAAAGACAAATTTTATTCAATTAGTTCTGCTCGTTAGGAGTCATGGGGAATATTCAATTATGGTTTTAATTAACGGATGAGATTAATTTCCGGTTTTTCGTGAGCCCGAAAAGCTTTCCGGCGCCGGTTACAACTCTAAAGATAATAATATTTTACTAGAAAATTCTGCACTATAGTTTCCTGGTTCATAAATGGCACAGTATACGTGCATTATGTTATATTAATATGATATTAATTTGATATTCAGTTTTCATCGATTTATTTATTTTTTTTTTGTATACCTATAATTTTTTTGTCATACAATCTGTAAATATAATATTTTACAATAAGTATAAGTGCTGTAGTAAAGATAAAAATATTATAAGAATAAAATAAAATAAATAAAAAATAAAAATAAAATAAGAGGGACTGATGACTTGAGCGAAGAGTCCATCCAGCGATGAGACTTCTTGAAATTATGAATGGGTTTTTTTCAGTCAGATCCCGATAACATTTTTGTCTAAAACGTCTACTAGGGTCACATAGGATGCTGAGGTAGGATCGATTTATAAATGGAAAAAAAAATCCCTTATATAAGATATGACAGATGGATATTATTTAATATGTTTTAATACTAATTAGTATATATTATATAGGTACCTAATTATTTTTAACATTGAAAATCGGTGAAAAGTGAAATAACGGTATTCAAAATATTAGTTCAAATTACGACATTTTTTATTTCTTAAAAATTTACTCTGAAATTTGTAATTGGTGTGTCTGAAATTTAAATACAATATTTATTAATAAATACATTATTTATCATGCGTACCTACGTTTATGGCAATATAATATATATGCAATATAGGTATAGTGAATATTGTACCACGTTGAAATTTACTACGATAAGAAACAATTTTATGTAGTTCAACAAAATAAACATTGAATTAATATAAGCTTCATTTTAATTAAATTTAAATTTAAAAAAAATATACAATAGCTGTGTATTTATATTTACATGTCGCATTGTTAATAAATTACCAAATAAGCAATTCAAATTTAAAACAATTTA